CATCAGTTAATGTGTACTGTAAGAAAAAGCATTCTCAGTTACATAGTATTCTGGTACCATTTTAATGGATGTTTGAATGCTTTATCCTGAAGTTGATTTTCAGTAAGCATTGTTTCACTAATCTGCTACTTAGTGTAGAAGGACTTTGAGTGATGTCTGATCTCAGAGATGCTACAACAGAAATAAATATTCAAATAAAATTTTTCATTAAAACTAAATTACAGATAGCCTACATGATTGTAAGTTTTATCATTCGTATATGAGTGCTTTTTCTGTTGAAAGAAGATGAACTAATTTCTGAGACTTGTATAAATTCACTGAGATGTAGTCACAGATATTCGCAGAGGTAACTTAGGCAAAAAACCCCAAACCAGAACAAACCACCTTCTGAAGAGTTTGGTTCTTCAGTTTGATCCAGATCACTAGAACAGCTGGTTAGTCAGTTTGAGACACTTTGGCCATAACCAGTTTTAATTTAAAACCTTGATTCATTGTTCATATTTGTGAACTATTTGGACACTGTTAGTCACTGCTCTATAGTTTCTACAGACTTGTTAAAGTGACTCCTTCCTGAGAACTAGCTGATCCCTATAGATCTTGCAAGGTGCTTCTGCAGGTTTTTTTTGTTCAAACCAAAAACATGTGCTCTGGTAATGCTTATATTGCTTCTTGGTAAGGGGGGAAAAAAAAAAATCTAAATTATAAGCTAGAATTGAAAAGTCTATCTGGCCAAAAAAAACCAAACAAAACACCAAGGCTACCAAAATGCAGTGCAATTTGTCACTGGCTTACCTCTATGTAAAAATGTGTTATTTACTGAGTTATTTTGATTTTTCATGATTAGCTAGAGACAGTTTGCCTTAAGTAAGATTAGTCCACACTCCTTTACTGTGAGCCATAGAACAGCTTCAGGACACGGACTGTTGTTGGCTTAGGAATTACTGAGACTTTACACAGCACAGCTGCTGACTCTGTGAAAGTAGTTTTCAGTGAGAGATTTGTTCTTCAAGGATGAATCCCTGTTCATCTCTTGGACTTCTTATCAGTCTGACTACATGCTGCTTCTTCTGCAGATACTTTTAGCACATCACATTAAAGGGTAGAAATAGGGCAACATAATGCTTTGAATTTTACATGAATCCTGGGATGGGAAAGACATGAGGAAATTACATTAAGCCATCTCAAGGTTTTGGTAACTTTGGTTAGAATTTTAACTGTTAATGTCAAGTCATCAGCATAGCCTTATCTCTTTTAAGTTGAAATACAATTCTTCCATAGAACTAGAGGAGATGGTGTGGATGTCAAGGTATCTGTAATAGTTCGGTATCATCAAGTAAAATTGGAAAGTACATTTTACCCTGGATGTGTACGGTATCGTGTATCTTGTTAAAAGATCTGCAAGAGTACAGATTATTGCTGTAGGTTTTGGGGTTGTGTGTTTGGGGTTTCCTCAGTGGACTAAACCCATTCCCTTCTCTTTTACTTCTCTTTAGGGATTCAGAGCTTCTGTAAGGACTTACTAGAAGTTGCAGACATTTTGGAGAAAGCAACAGAAAGTGTTCCAAAAGAAGAAATTAAGGATGAAAATCCTCACTTGAAGAGTTTATATGAAGGTCTTGTTATGACAGAAGTACAGATTCAAAAAGTGTTTAAAAAACATGGCCTGCTCAGACTGAATCCTGTCGGAGCCAAGTTTGATCCCTATGAACACGAAGCGTTGTTCCACGCTCCCATGGAAGGGAAGGAGCCTGGCACTATTGCGCTGGTATCCAAGATTGGCTATAAGCTACACGGGCGTACGCTGCGGCCTGCCTTGGTGGGTGTTGTGAAAGATGCTTAGCTGCTTAATCTGAGAATTTAAAATGCCATACAACTATTAAACAGCTGGATGGTTTTTCTCTTACACCATGCTTTCCTCATTCCTCTTCCCCCTGAGAGATTTAAATGAATTGGTTGAGGTCTCTTAGTGAAAATGAAGCAAACAATGAATTTCTCCTGCTTAGTGGCCTTCAACATCACTATTCCATAATTCTTAAGTGTGAAATACAAGAGCCATTAAGCTCTCTAATACTTTAAATTAGAGGGGTTTTTTTACAACTATTGCTACTGAAGGTGCATTAAATTGGAAGGAATGAAATGCTCACAAGAATTTTGCCATCTCAAGTTTATCACTGTGTAGATTGAAAATCCAAATAGTTCAAGCACTTTCTTTTGTTTTGTAGAATCTAACATTGCAGAAGTGGGTGAAGTAATACAATAACCTGTTTTCTACCAGTGTCCATCAGCTTTTACACACCAATATCATAAATGCCCTTTTTTGTCTATTCAGAAATAATCTCTCTCAACAACTGAAATGGAAACCTTGGTGAATTCTGACCTGTAAATAAAAGGTAATGAAGAGTAGACATCTTTTGTAATTGCTCAACCCTTTTTGTTCTGTAGTAATGTTGACTCAAGAAAACCATCTAATACTTGTATGGCATTGAAGAACCAATAGAATTTATCCTATCTCTGGATTTTTAATTTAATATTGTATAAATTGGTTTAAACAATTTTGATAGTCTTCCAAGCTTTACAATCAGTTTGTTATGCAAACTGTAGTTACAACCCTGCTGAAAGCCAGAACACCCAAAGAAGTGAGTAGCTGAGAGTTTGGTATATACTGTCTTTTAGAATTACATAAATAATTGCATGTAAGTGGCTCAAAACAAAAATGTGATCTTAGTTTCATCTTCATTTTTTGCACTTATTCAGCTTGGATCTTAAGTTGCAACAGAACTTTTCCCATACGTAGCTCTTGCCATGTCTAACTCCACCTGCTGCTCCCAGTCCTGCAGAATCAGGCTGAAATACAGTACATGATTCTCTGAGTGCTTTGTCCTGCGTTTGTCTGGTCACGTGGACAGGAGTGGATGGAACTGGGCAAATTACACAACTGACAAAGTAATCTGTCCTCTTGTATCCTCACAGTCCATACATTTAACACACAGGACAGAAACTTCAAACTCATGCATGTATTAGGACTTGGTAAACAGTAAGCACTTCTGAATTTTTCACCATTTCTGGTTGTCATAGATTAAGGAGTTTCTTACCTTAAGGTCAGGTATTGATATTTTTTTTGGTTCAGATGCAGAGTTGCCGACAGCTCACTGAACACTAGACCTACTCACAGTGAGAAGTGATTACTTGTTCTTTAAGAACACTTTTTCCCAGTGCTAGTTTGCCTCATGGAAGTCAGACAGTTAAGTAGGAACAACCTAAGTGCATACTGTTGAGAGGTTAGTCATGCTTAAGGATTCATTCATTCTTAGCTCCAGGAAAGAAAATCAATTATTTGACTTGGCAGGGAGAATAATTTTTGGTGCATGTGAGAAGACAACTGCAGTGTTAATTTTTTAAACCTAACCAAATATAGGGATCAAAAGGCAAAAACTGAGTGTAAAACTACAGGGGGGGGGG